CTATGTGACAAAGAGAAGCAGCTAATCCTCTAATTTGAGAATCTGGAACATAAAAAAAATTGTTGCATGTTTTCACTATTTTTGCTTAAAGAATGACTTAAACGATTAATCAATTATCAAAATAGTTGTCGATTATTTTTCTGATTAATCAAGCAGTCGGCCCTAAAAAACATCTTCTAATGTTATCGTGATTTTCTCTCAGTCTGTGATGTTGTTAACAGTGTGCCTTTTTAGTGTCTCATTCTGTCATTACTGCTTTCCTACATCTCCCACAATACCTTTCAACCAGCACCACAGAACATGTCCAAACGTGTTGCTTTTCAGTTGTGGGTTTTAAGAGAGCAATACAACATCAACACAGCAGATTCTTTTCAGTGAGAAAAAACAAACAAACAAGATATTCACTTGTTATCTAAAACATTAAATGTATTGATACTGCATTGTAATTGTCAAAAACTGGTGCACAATGGCACACCTAGAATTATGGTTTCTACATTTGGTTGGTCATCTGCAAAAGTAAAAACACAACAAACAACTCCACATAAGGACCCAGAACCTAATATATTCTAATGTTGAGAATCACTCAAAATGTTTGTATGTTGACGATATATAAGCACATGCATTTCAGTTCATAAACTAGCATTTATATTAGAACCTTTTCTCCATTTAACAAAAACAAAACTTGTGAGATAGGCTACATCAGTGTTGACTTACAGGAAGAACCATACAACTGCAGTACTTAAAATGTAGTACATAAATAACAACATGATGATAAACTAACACATTTAACAATGTGTTACACAATAGGTTAGTTGGTTAACTTTTAATTGATTTGCTAAATATAAGCACAAGGTAATATGTGATTTATTTGTTGCCACTCGTACCTTCAACAAGAGAAACAACTACTGACTCTCATGGTTATGGGTTGTCAAATGTGTTAAGAAATGCATACAGTATGTGGTTTCAGTAATGATTTTTGATGGGTATAGAAGCTATGCTGCCATACAAAATGTGTCCAATTTCCAGTCATTTTATGTTTTTATATTCCTGAGAACTCATAACAGCTGAAAAAGAAAACATTTGGCCACCAATCTTTGTATCTTTGTAGAAGCATGTGTCGAGTTTACCATGTACTGCATATTTACAACCTCTCAGCAGCAATTGTTACTTTATACAACTGCTGTTAAGGACACTTCTGTGTGTAGGTTCGACAAGGCTGCAAAGAATCAGCTTTAGTTTGTTCAGGCCTCATCTGTAACACCCAGCCAAGTAAAGCAAACCTTTTCTGATCTTAAACATAATCTTTCAATGAAATGCTTTTTGTTGCTAGTAGCTACCAGGATCAACTGTATTTATATTATAAAGAAGATGCTGGGGTCCCTAAACCTCAAGTATGAGAAATTCTTAGATTTGTCTGTTCTTTATAACAATTTACAACACAAATGAAGAGAAATTATCTGTATAACAAAAGTAAATATGCCAACTTTCCTTCAGAACAAACTCTATTAAAGGGAGAACTGCAAACAAGATGTGGGTCACAGCTTAATAAGTGAATAAGACATTTATAACTCCACTGTTTCAAACAATCTAAAGTTTAAGAGACTCCACACGAAGAATTCCAGGACTCTGAAATTAACTATTGTGTAGGAGTTGCATGTGAAGTGTGATGTTTTTGCTACAGAAAATAATTTCTGCTGTGACGGTAGAGAACAGCTCCAGACTTCAGTGTGAAATCACACAACAGCCTGGCTGCATCTGCTGTGTGAGCACATGTATACATTTATATGTAAACAGACACACACACACACACACACACACACACACACACACACACACACACACACACACACACACACACACACACACACAATATATTAACACACAGACACACACTGTAGAAAGAACATACCGCACAAAACACAACTCATATGGGGGAAACATGTTGACCTCATTCTTTCATCTGGAGCCATAGATTTATAGGACTGTTTACAAGGTGCATTTGAAAAAGGCTAGATAATTAGGTGACAAAGACTAAAGGCAACTAACTAAGATAAACATCTTTAAGATGATTAAATGTCATTTTTGTGGTTGCAGAATGTAACGGAAATAGGCAATACAGACACAACAGAGATTGAAACCCAAACAACAGAGCATAATATGACTGCACTGTCCTTATGCCGAGCATTATCTTAAGTAATTAGCTGTATCAGTAAACAGTGTGAGCTTTAAGCTCCACTGCTTAAAATACGCAACTTCACTAGAACAGCCTTGTCTCTCTGGACTCCCTGCATTGACTGTAACACATCCACTGACATCTACAATGACTGATGAACTCTCATAGTCACAGCCTGGTGCACGCTGCCTGCGCACTGTGACACAGGAATAGGAAACAATCACTGATGACTTAACCAGCAGCATCTACGACACAGTCTGTGGAGGTTCTCACTGGGTTTCATAACCATCATGCCATGTCACAAGGTGAACACACACTACTGTGTTTCTTCACGGTACACTGGCCGGAGAGCTAAGAAACAGCAATAACATGACAGCACAGCCACACAGCCTCAGCTAACCCCTTCCAGTATCAATCAGCGGCCCACTCTAGTGACCTCATATCTGGATCATCTGTGTAACAGCGCGCAGACATCAGACAATTTCATGCTTTCAATTGTGCTGCTCTTCCTAAAGAGGTTGTGGTAGCTTGTTAATTAAAAACATGGCTTCTCCACCGCAGAAGCCCGGGCTCAGTGTTCCCCAACCCCTACAGTATTCGGAGCTGTGCTTCCATGAAGCTCTCTGCAGAGCCTCTGCTGCACTGAATCCTGGGTATCCCCGGGCTGGGTGTTTCACACGGGGGTTGCAGTGTCCAGCACAGTAGACACTGAGTGCTACGGAGTGAGTAGCTTGGCAGGCAGTTTGGCATGTTATGACTGGAAGATGGATCAGCGCTGTTGCCCTGTCATTCCTAAGATGTAACTGTCTGGAGTGAAACATTGTAAAGTCTGCAGAAACAACGAGGAGACGAGGCTTCTCCGAGACCACAAATGATTAGTTTTTGGAGATGCTGGGACTGCAGTGCAAGGGCATTTGCCTACTTAAGCATTGTGGGTGAGACCTGGCACACCAAAATAGAACAGGCATGGCGTGTTGCTCTGTAGTCTGCCCTGAAGATGCACAACATCTCCATTCAAGCACAGTTCTCAGATCAGGCCAAGGCCCATCCTGAAACTACAGGGCCCGATAAGGCCAGCTCTATGTGTGAAGATTAATCTCCAACAATTCCTACTCAACAATCTGAACATTCCCTCTTTTTTTCCCTGCGCATCATTTCACCAACCTTTTCACTCTTATGATCTGATCCCTCATCGGCTTTATGTCCTGGAAGCTCTGCTGGTTGACAAGGCTGTAGACCAGTATGAATCCTTGACCGTTTTTGATGTAAAGGTCCCGCATGGAGGCGAACTGCTCGGTACCAGCGGTGTCAAGGATCTCCAACACCGAGGGCGAGGAGTCCACCTCGATCTCCTTGCGGTAAAAATCCTCTATAGTGGGGTCGTACTTCTCAATGAACGTCCCGGTAACAAACTGCACAGTGAGGGCGGATTTCCCGACCCCACCGCTGCCCAGGACCACCACTTTATACTCGCGCATCGTGGATTAAATCAAGTCGTAAAGTATCAGTCTCCGCGCGTCATTGAAATGAACTGAAAATCACGTTCACCATTCGTGTCCCATTTTGAACGGGTTGTCAATAACACAGTCTCGCTCGCCGCTGCTCAGCTATGGCAGAGCACAAAGACTCGGTGCCCGGAGATGGATTTCATTGTAGAAATTTCCCCCATGCAGGCCAGACACTGACAGCTATACAGGCGTCCGAGGGCTGGCAAATTGTCCAAAACGTGCACAGGAGGGGGGGAGGAGGAAGAAAATATCGTCCGATGATGTGGACCGTGCGGGGTTTTCATCTGCTTAGCTCACCCCTCTCTGTGCATCCTAAAAAAACAAACTTGCTCCATCGAGGACGCTGGGAAAAACGCTGGCTTTAGCCCCTAGAATGAACTGCAGGCGCAGATTTTTCCAGCCCGAGGCCGCCTCGGTTGGAGCAGCACCAACTCAAACTGTTTGGATACTTGATTAAAGAACTTGCGTCTCTTTGTTTCTTTTTCAGCATCTCTGGCATGTCTCCGTCTCTCCCTCGCTCTCCAGTGCGATCCCAGCCGCCATACTCTCGGGTGGAGACCCACGGCCGCCGCGTAAACCAGCTGGTCCCCGCTCGGCTCCCGTACCGAAGCAAAGAGGAAGAAAAAAAAAAAAAATCGGATCCTCCCTCCTCTCAGACGGATGTGCAGACGGTCCAACAGCGGCGGCCGCTCGCTGGAAACCTCACTCGCGCCTGAACGGGGGCCGCGCGAGAGGCAGCCAGTCAGATTCAGCGGTTACATTTCCGTTCATGTGTTAAAATTCCCATCATTCGGTTGCCCCAGTGACATCAAAAGAAAGCTCCTCCAATCACAGGGCCGGCTCGGGGATGTGTATCCAAGAGGAGGAAAATGCACCGGATGCTGTTGCTATGGTAACGCTGCATTTTTGTTGCTGCCGTCTAAAATTCGAGAATGCTGTAAAATAAATCAAATAAAAGCTGCTTGACCGGATAATGTCGAGAGATGGGATGAATACTTATTGATGTGTACCAGTGCAGGTTGCATTACCAAAGGCAACCGTTTGCTATTGAAGATCATTACATTTCACTTACAGTAAAACTTATTATGGGGGGGAAATCTTAAAACAAGATATTGTCTGATTTGCCTTTGGGGAGACCAATCTAGCTTTCTCTGCTGTGCACTGAAAGAGATCATTTTATTTGTGAATTGAGTTTTTAGCCGGACAACCAACAGAATCAATAAAACTTGGTCATCCTTAATTGTAGGGTCTTAGAATGATATTAAATTGATGAAAAATAAATGTATAGTGCCAAAGTCAAACAACAGAGCTCACACCAATGGCATTTACTTGACATTTATTTATTTGCAATATTAGATTTTACACAATTTGGAATTTACAGGAACAAAAAACTATCACATGAAATGTTTAATTGTGCACAAACAAAATAAGTTTGACAGATAAGTTTATATTGAGGCCAGGATGGAACCAAATGGCACTGGCACACAAGCCTTTCCTCAGCATTGTGTTTTGGGGTTTATTTCAATGTCATTTTGGCCTCAAACTAAAAACTCATGTAGCAATAATTTCACAGAAAAGTGAAATGTATTTTATTTATTAAGCAATATGGAATTATTGAACAAATACAAACTTAGCAATAGATAAAAGATAAGGCAAAGTTCACAAAAAGCAGCACATCTTCTCAGCCGATCTGACTGTCGAGAAAGTGCTTAAGAGAAATGTTTCCATCAGTCAGTCAGACCAAACATTCTTACTGTCCATATATTTGACTGGATGATCAAAATCAACAGCCTCCATGTGCAGGTGTATCCACGACATTCAAGCTTTTTGCCAGAAGGTGAAACAAACATTCGATTAAATGCCTTTAATTTGAAGGTAAAATAAATAAGGGGAAAAAAATGTCATATATCTAATAACAACCTAAACTTTGAAAGCAGTCATATTCTGACCAAGGTTTAAAAAGTCACCGAACCATCAACGCCCGACTTTCCGACTTGTGTCCGCAGGAGTTCAGCACTCGACAGATTTCTCCGAGGGTGGGTTATATTTTTTGCTGCAAGATGTTAACATGCAGTGGAAACCATATAAAACACAAAATTCACATTGCAAAATATATTTTTATGCACAGGATCACTTACAGTGTTTCACACCATGGCATAGTAAAGTAAAATATCTGACAGTACAATCTAATGTGTTATTGTGAGGAGGAAAAACAATTTCATCACCTACAAAAATACAGTTTTTAATCACTGCAACTTCAGATTGCCTCAGCAACACATCAAAACAATTCAATGACTAACTATTATTACACTATTATGAAAGGTAACTTTTTTCGGAAAATGTGAACCTGTACAATGCACTTTTGTACATAAAAAGCAATTCTATGGCCTTGCTCATACAAAGGTTCACTGTCCCTTACAGGTGACAAGGCAGTGACAAGGATTAAGTGTTTAAAGCATCTGTTTGCTCCAACATTCAATCCCTGCCCACAAGACGGCTTTTCATAGGCTAATACAACAGATCAAGGCCCTTTGAGGAACCACCAGCAGAGCTAAAGTCAGTTTAATAAATTACATTCATCATAAAATAGAAGAGAATACATTTTAAAAGTGTTCTTTTCTAATGTTAACCAGTAAAATATTAACGTATACTCCTTATATTCCATCCAATAATGTGTAAAAGTTTCCACAAGGAAATTACATAAAGAAAAGTATGTGAACAAAATGCAATATCTCTTGGTGGATTGTCCGAGTTAATCGCACACAAGTGTACACACGTATTCAGTCACTTGAAAAGACATGGGAAACATTAAAGGAAAGGTTGATATTTGCACACACTGTTTGCAAAACAGGTAACTAAAATTAACATGAAACATGTTCAAGAGAGCATTACATATGAGTGGAAACTGTTTTAACATATGTTTTTTTTTCCTTAACCAGACACAATACCCACTCTGTCTGCTGTAAGTTTCAAACAAATATGGGTAATTGCATAATGTGGTACCACACAGACAACTAAGCCTCACAAAAAAGCCTACCTCCTTAAATTCTACTTTACTACACAAAGTATTGTACTGTGCATAAAACTAATCAGGAAACATTGCCATACACTTAATCATCTTAAAAGAGAAACAAAATCAAATTAAGATGTATATCAACTCTTATACATAGTACACACGAGTGTGAGCATCGGTGAAAATTAAATGTAAGTCTAAAATCTAAGCAGGCATAAACAAAATACTAATGCACTGACATGGCATTTCTTTCTACATGTGACTTAGGTAAAGTAGATTTAATTGAGTGATTTTTCACAAAAAGCCTTTTAAATATGCATGGATATCCACATCCGCGCAACTCTTTAGGCACTTGTAACATTCAAATAATACAGTACTGACAACTGACGGTAACATTAAGACTAATAGTTCACACACTGCTCAACCCTTGGAGGGTTACAAGAACTTTAGTTTGAATTTGAGTAGTAGTAATTTTACACCATTTTACTGAGCCCATGGAGGGTCTTCTTAAAAGACATGGTTTGCCTGATCTTGGCCGTGGTTTCACAAAGATATTTTAGACTGATCTGTAGTGTTAGTCCAGTCTTAATTTAGCTGTAAGATGAGTCTAATGCAAGTTAGGCTGTTTCGAGAAAAAACAAACAGACTGTAGGTGGCGGGATACACTGATGATCACATCCACTCTCATACTGGAGTCTCTTGAACAAAGAGACTTATTTTGAGCACCACCTTACCCCCCATGACTAACTCAGAACAAATATGTTTCCATGGTAACAGTCTGTGACCCCTGCTGTCCAGTTTCACCAAACAAATACTACTAATAATAATAATAATAAAAAAAGACTCATAATTTGTGGTTTTCTAAGATTGTGGAGCGAATAATGAGTGGGGAAAGAGTTTTTAGAGATCAAAGTAGCCTACTGGAAATATGAGCAGTGAGCCCACATTAGAATCCACATCTCAGGGCTGATATACGTCTGCACTGTGCTGAAATTTTATACTATTGGAAGTTTTTTGTGTTGTTTCGCTGGATTTTTACAGTAAAATGTAACTGTTGAGCGGTTTAATGTGTTTATTAGTCATTAGACCTATTTAAGATAGTAAAAGTCAGTCTTTGTGAAACTGGCCCCTGAAGAGTAAACCACTTACAGAAAACCCCTTACATAAAGTGTCACATAATCCAATTTTCTTTTTTATAATAAAGAAGGCGCAATTTAACTGTTTGAATCATTGTTGCTTCACTGCCTTGAAGAGCAAATGGATTGTACAGTATTTTCTATCAGCAAACATAGGCTACTGTACTGTATATGCGATGCAAAGGTACACCACAAGGTGGAGCACTGATCCTGTTCTCTGGGGATGACAGGGTAAACAATGTAGATGGACTACCCTGAGAACATCTTACAGGAGCTTCCATCATTTTTACATTGTGGAGTTTAAAGTTAAAGTAAGTGCATTTTTACTAGTTTGTTTAAAATAATCTGGCACTTTTAAAACAAGCATTAATGTGAAAAAACCTTTCTATTGGTTTACATAACACATTCAAGAAGGAAAAGCTGTTGGTCAGTATCACGATAACATTTGAACAATCTCCAATAAAGGAACCCTTTACACCTGGTATTAACATGTACTGTCTACACACTGAAAGCTGATTTCAGATTACATCTGTCATGCTCATCTCCTCCTGTTGAAATATTTACACAATTTAAAACTGTCAGTAAATGACATTTCTTTTTGTTTCCATATGAGTTAGTATTAAGGTGTTACTACTATATCTGCACTGCACATGTGTTTCCTGGTTGAATTTGTCCAGAAAAGTTAGTTTATATTTATGAGGTTCCTATATGTAAGAGGCTAAATGCATCTCTGACCTTGTCAGGGGTTTAGGAAATACAAACCAGGATATTATGCACATAACTGAGGACGCATGTTAATGCAGGTGCAAAGGCGCGTACATACAATAATCTTCTGTGACACTTATCTAGCATTGTATAATTGTAGTAATTGAGCTATGTTATTTATTATGAGAGATCAAAGTAGTGTCTACAACTTCATATCAGCATGCAGCTTGTTGTAGGTTGTGTGTTGTGTTAACAGAGTATTTACAGAGCAGTTGTTTGGGGTCTTTAACAGCAGCAACATGGCACTGACTTCTGTTCCTGGTGGTTACTTGAGGATGATCTGTTTCAGAGGCAAAAGACATAGTCACTTAGTGGTTGCATATGGTGGAAATATAGTTGGTGTTTTTGTTACAGGACAGAGGAAGATCATCAAGTGCTCAATAAGAATTATCACTGTGATAGATTTAAATTGATAAGATAAAATTAAATAAAACAAATACCATAACCCCATTAACTCCTGATAATTTATTTAATTTACCCTTAAGTCATAAGGGGAAATTAAAAAAGTTCCCATAATTTATGAGTTTTTCATGGCTGCATCATTACATTAAATTGGAACATTTGTGTCTTATGCATTATTTTATACAAATGCTTATCGTCCTATTAATTACCTCCATTCCAATTTAAAGTAAACAGTTTTATATATGTGCACATGACACTACACATATGGAGCAAAAATGAGCCAAGAAAAGAAGAAAATGAGCAAAGTAAAAGAATATTGTTTTTGAGGACGAGGTATCTTACATTGACTCTTCTATCATCTCCAACCATCAAACCCATCAAATGTTTCAATCTGAACAGCTGAGATTACCAAAATATAAATATTACAAATAGAAGTCATAGTCAAATGCGACACACAAATAGACACATATTAACATCACCATTACAAAGTTCCATGTATAAAAATGAAACCCTAATCAGAACAGCGTATTTTCACAGATGATACAATTAATGCAAGTATTAACTGATTAATATAACCAGTATGTAAGTACCTAAGCTACTATTGTGTTATTAGATCTCGCTAATCACTCTTAACATGTAAGATAACATTTTGAATAGCATACTGAGTGATGAAACAGACACTGACATCGAACAAAGCAAAAAAACAAACAAACATGCAATAAAGAATATACGAAAACACCACTATTTGCAGATGGAAGACCTCTGAATAGGTGATGTGTGTCAAAAGGGGAAGGGGTGAGATGCAGCCTAGTTCTACTGAAGGTCTACAGGTAGATGAAGCTTAATGATAGGCAATGCAAGCAGGGCAACGCTATGCTGACGAAGCAACTCCCCCGATTTAAAGATGAAGTACTTATTCAGAGCTCAAGGATTTATGACAGAAAGCTTTAAAAAGGAGCAAACCTGATTGGCTGGTGCTGTTGCTGCGTAGGGGACACTTGTGGCGGGAGAAGTGGCTGCAGAGACAGTAGCAGGCGTAGCACTGTACATCATGGGGACTTTTTCAGGAAGGGAACCATGAAAGCAATGAAAAGGGAGGTGGAGCATTATGGTAACCATAGCAATGTTTTTTTCTCTCTTGCCAGGCAAATACAAAATGACATTAGCAGAAAGCCATCATTGAGTTAGACCAGCAGATGGCATGTGATCACACAGCAAAGCGAGACAGCAGGGGAGAACATAAAAGGGAGAGATAAAATTAGGAAATCTGTCCATAATTTGACATCCCAAAAGAGAAGGCATGTACAGCAATGCCAGCAGGCACAATCAAATTGTGTTTATAAGATCTTTGTTGAGTTAACTAACTTGAAACTTGAAACATTTAAGTGAATCTCAGGGATGCTGATCAAATTTCCTAATCCATGGAGCATTGCAATTCTTCAAAAAAAATCCACAAAATGCTTATTTTGATATAATGTTTAACTACCCAGTAGTTTAAGTGTTATTTAAAAAAAGATTATTTATATATTACTATATTATTATTTCACAAAGCCTTGGTAATAAAAAACACACAAACATGCAACACATCAAAAATATTTACAGAAAGAAAACACCAATAAAATTATCCTGATTTTAAGATGTGGTTTTAATATGGGTTCCAGATTGTTGCTTTCCTAATAACAAAAAAGCAAGATTAATATGAGGGCTTCATCTGTGTTTCACTAATTATGAGACATAGTTCATAAGAAAATAAGGAAGTGACCTACCAATGCTGTTAGCGGGTGTCATGCAAAAGACAGAACCTGTGTGATCATAAAAAAAGGAAAGAGAGACTGTGTTTTAGTGCAACTGACACAATATAGTCAACACTAGCATGAGCCCACATAACAGCATCTTCAGTGTATAAAGCTTACACAAATAAAACCAGTAAAACCAGTAAAGATTTAACAAACATGCAGATTAAATTAAGATGAGTAATGTACTACACCTCTTTACAAGTTCAGAGCAAAAAGACAAAACACCTTTTTTTGATTAAAAAGTGGGATAAGTGTGTACCACCTTTTTTGATTTGCCATAGCAGGTAAAGCACAGGTGTAATCAATGACATTAATTATGGCTTAGTTTCATTTAAGTGCCCCATTAAGCAATGCCACAATCATCATGCACAGGATTTTTTCAAAGAAGTAATTTTAAAATGTCACAGTAAGAAAAGTACAGCTGTAAATAATAAAATCAATGATGGTTGAATTCCAATTCAGCTGCTTCAGCTCCAGGTTCCTGGCATTGTGCGTGCTGAGTCACTATCACACTGTCATGATTTTCTGGTACACTTCATTGGAACAATTGCTAATATTATGAATAACAACAGTACTTTTCCTACTATGACAAGTTAAAATGTGTGGTATGAAAAAGGCCTATATCAGGCCATTGTAATTGGTGAACCTACTATAAATGGAATGCAGCCATGGTCAATGTTACTGGTAGAATGTATTTTATTGCAATGACATGTCAAAATGTCTAAAAAAGGTAAAACTCTGACTCTAAAGTCAGGATTAAGATTAATACCATTTTATAACACTAATTCATAAAAATCTTTCCATTGTAATTGTAGTTCTGTTGATGATACATACCTCAAGGTTTAAAGTCAAGTGAAAACATTAAGTGTGTATGATATTTGTGAGCAGTGTTTACCCCCATAAAAAAAAGTCTATCATAACATTTTAAAATACAAAAGTGCCTTCTAACATTGGATCTACAAGTTTAGAGGCTCACCTGTGGGATAAAATGCAGCAGTGGGCTGCTGCAGCTGTGTGTTGGCCAGAGCCTGTTGGTAGTGCAAAAAACTGGGGTTGAGGAGAGAGCTGGCCCAGCTGCACTTCTCAAGAGCTTGTCTCTTTGGTAGCGGTTGCAGGACACTGTGAGGAAAGCCCTGAAAAGTAACAAAAGGGGACATGACACACCAGAACTTCCCAAATGTCCGTTCTCTCTGTTGAGCTACTTATCTTAACACACTTAATATTTAGTATTCATTTTAAATAATGTGAACAGCAAACAAAACTACAAAATTAAGGTGGCATATCACAGTGGAAAAAACAAACACGGTTTACAAAAATGAATGGAATAATGTCAACCAAATGTTTTTTTTAAATATCTTACAAATGAAGCACTTAAAGACTGATGGTGACTGTGTACACAAAGACTATATGAGACTTGAAGAAGCTTTAAATCACAATGACAAAAATTAAAAGTTATTACAGTACAATTAATAGCTACAACCAAAGCAAAAGGTGAAAATACCAGGTCTACAGTTGCCTCGAGGGATCGCTTCATTGCTTTGGCAGTCGACTGAGTCTTTTAATAGCAGGCAGCGAGCACATGATGGCAGTGGGCCAATGGGATTCAAGCGTATTAACATACAGGTAACAGCAAGCAGAGGTGCATCATGGGGGACAGCATTGTGGATAGGTGAGAAGGGAAAACAAAACAAAATAATCTGAATGTAGTATACCACATAAAACACAATATGCATGCACAGTAACCAAAATAACTGATTAAAGGACACACTAACTAAAGATTCCTTAATTAGTAGGTCAACATGTATAGTTAATTAACAGCTTTGGCAACACAGATTTACAATGATAGGGCACAATCTTGTATACAAATTTACTTTGTATATTGATGACTATGATAACATTACTTGATCAGAGTTTGTTAATTGTAATCAAAACACTACCACTACCATGATGCAATCAGTGCAACTATGCACACTATATCATTTTGGAATACATACATTGATTTTACAGCCTGCAGGCAAGGCTAACAAAGTAATGCACATCAAGCACTGCAAAGTTTTATTGTTAAAGGTCCAGTGTGTAGGATTTAGTGGCATCTAGCTGTGAATTTGCATATTGCAACTACCTGGACACCGCTGGCGTCTGTATTTGACGACCTGGGAATGAGTATGGGCTGTGAAGTGTGTAGGAGAAACTACGGTGGCCGCGAAACTCACAAAAAAACTTGAAAGACCCCGTCTACAGCTAGTGTTTGGTTCGTCCGTTCTAGGCTACCATAGAAACATGGCGGACTCCATGGAAGGTGACCCGCTGTGTCTGTAGATAAAAACAGCTCGATCTAAGGTAACAAAAACACAAAGATTCCTATATTCAGGTGATGGTACACTAATGAAAAAATACCTATGACCATCATATTCCATTTCTGCCAATGGATCCTCCTAAATATTACACACTGGACCTTGAACGAGAGATTTTATGAGAATTTATGAGAATTAGCCAAAGGTAACATCACAAATAAAGAAAAAGAGCCATGTATCCAATGTCATTAAGCACAGAATGTGGAGCTCCATTTACTGCAAGGCTTTTGGTGGGTTGGAAGATGCTTCTTTGACTTGTACTATACATAACTAAACATCTGTTTTTGTGAGCTCAAAATACAATCTAACTCTCACTCAACAAAAATATAATGTTAGGGGCGTAGATGGTCTGTGGAGGGCATAGAAGCACATTTCAGTGTTAATATAGTTCATTCTTACAGTATATTTATCATTTGTGCCAAGTGAGAGACCTGAAAATGCATTATGTTCAAAGTAACTTAAATAAAGTAAGTTAATATTATAGTATTAAAACTGAAACCAAATCAATAAACGCTTTCAGTTGGGAGAATTGGCAAAAGAAATGGCAGAAATTATGAAGGGGGATAAATGGGAAGTTGGTCCAGAGTACATAACAGATCACTTTGCTCTTTTATGCACTTTTCCATGCAGGAAGATATCACAAAGCTTCGCCATTACAATGATTCATACTGTAAACTGCTTAGCCATCACAATTATTCATATAGTATAGCAAAGAAAAAAACTGTTTCAGAAGCCATTCTGACTGTTAACTGCAATATAGCGCTAGTGTCTATAAATTGTCTGGTGCATGTCCTGTCATTATTAATGTACATACATTATCTTTCAATTGGGCCTGCTTAAAGGCACAAGCCTTGAAATGTTATTGAAAAGCACAGCTCCATTACAAAAACTCAAAATGCAAGATTAGGACCTGCTATCACTCTCAATTTGATTGACAGGTCTTTTAATACAAGAACTAATCCTTGACAACAACTACTCCAAATGTAATCTCTCCTCATCTCATCCATCTTTGTAATGTTCTGTGATGTGGTAAAAGGTCTGTTCACATCTGTGGTGTGTGTAAACACAGGATTAAAAACATGCATATGTTCTTAATCATCAAAAGAGAAAGGCAAAGTGCAGATTTTCCATTTATGAGAACTTCTCTATTATGTATGTGAATATACCCTGAAATCTATATCGTCTACGAGGTTTTTTAAGAGAAAGATGTGAGGCAACGAGACTGCATGAGGTGAAAGGGACAGGTGCACGCTGTTCTAAAAACAACAGGAAGTTAGATATAGTAGTTGTAGTAGTAGAAGACAATTTGTGTCAAAAATGGCACTCTATTCAACGCAGTCCAAAGGACATCATTATCTTCTATGTCCATTGCAACTAAACGTCCATTCATCTGCTTAGAAATCATAGACACAATTACTGCTTATAAGACTTTAACCCTAACCCCTAACCCTAACTTTCCTGACAATCATCACATTTTCAAAAGCTTTCTTCACTATCAAATTAATCCAGTGATCATTTTCTGTACATCCATGTGAACATAGCAAACAGGGACTGCTATTAGCTAATTCTGCATACTTTTAATGGGGCCAATTTACCAAAATTAAAGAAATATAGGCTAAAAAAACCCAATGTAACTGTAATGAATCTAGCAACATTCTGCTTCCTGTTTACAAGCAAGGGAGTGGGGCGCAGTTGTTTGTCTGAGGGGGAGCTATAGTGTCAGGCTTTGAAAACCCCTAGTTTTAGAAATCCCTCATTTGGCCTTTAACTTACAATTTTAACTCAAGTTGGAAAAGGGGTTTAACAATGAACCCAATTGCGGATTTCTGTTTTTTTGTTCAAATAAAAAAAAAGTACATTTTGCCACTTCATAAGATTTTCCTTTACAACTGATAGTATACAAAAATATAGTGCTCCACATTCAGTGATGTCATGGCGAACACAATTACAACAAAAACCACCATATTATTGGAAGGTTAATGTGTTTCTTTATAATGTGTTTTTTGTGCAAAGTAACACACTTTTCAGTAGTCAGAACGATGATGCACTTACCATGGCTGCGGCTTGGGCTGCCACGGCTGTCTGATTGACTTGCTGTTGACTGGATTTGATTTTGGCCTGCAAGTGTGCAGGCGGGTGAAAATACTTGCACTTCTCCCTGGAGCAGCGGCTCTTGATGTAGTCCATGCAAACAGTGACAGTGTTATCGGTGGTGTCAATCATAGGACTGTCACTGGGGTGTGCAAAGCGGCAATCTGTCTCCCCTCTTGCACAGCTTCCCCGCTGAAATTCCCGGCACACCTGAGAAGAGCAATTATAACGAGAGTGAGTGAATGAAGCCAGATTGTGTCAACCCCACAGAAGTACTAATGTATTTTTTCACATTAAATCACTCCTTGTGATGCATGAATACCTCTAGTTTGTCTGTACGCTGCAGCTTCTGTGAGGGAGAAGAAGAAGAAGAAGAGGAGGAGCTCTGGACTGTGACAGGTGGGCTCCCAGAAACAAGAACCGAATTGCTGGAGAGGTTGTCTGTCGGGACGAGGCTCATTCCATGGCTCAGAGGTGTCATATATGAACCATAACAAAGACCAGTGTTTGTGCCGAGTCCCTGTGTAACAGGAAATGTTGGCTATGAGGGAAGACATTATACATTACAAGTGAGACAAGCGGCACAGCACAAAAATAAGTTCCTTCCTAATAACTATGAGGACCTCACCACGGGCTGCAGGCTGGGTCCTGGGATCATGAGCTGCATCTGCTGGGCAAGCACAGCTGCTGCTGTCTTCTGCTGGATGAGATTGTTGCGCCCATTTATCTCTAACTGCGTTTTTAAGTGTGAAGGTGGATGAAGATACTTGCAGTTTTCTCTTGAGCATCGGCCCTGTATTCAGAGAAAATGGAGAAGGCAAAAGAACAGATTGCAAACTATCTGTATACACCTCTAATGATCTCTTTGTTTTTTATCATGACATTTTACAGTTGTTCTTTGAAACTGGGGGAAAAGCCTTTTAACTTTAAACATACTGGCTTTAATTATTTGTCTTAAATAAGATGCAAACTTACTCTTCCAGCATGAAAGTTGGATGTAGTACACAACTATCTATCATCAATCAACTGTATTTCTCACCTTTCTTACACAAAAGAAAACACCATTTCCCACACTGGCATTACATGTTACCATTGGATGTAGAGAGGATGTACTGCAGAATCATCCATTATAAATCTAGTAGACAATAAGTAAGGAGCATGGTTTAGATGAAGTCCACTCATCAGGCCTTTAATTCCTTTTGCACAAAACTATTGCTCGGCAAAGATGGGAAACACTTTCAAATCAATACGAATATTACTTTAAATTAGGATATACTGATTGATTGAATTGTATAGAATCTAACTGATCTAACGATGTGTAGCATGTCCATATTGACAAAAGTTTAAACATTTATATATGTGTAGGCGATCTAAGCAGCTTAGAGACCCAGTGGGCTTTAAGAGGGTTTTATACATCCAAAGCATTTCTGTAAAATCCAGACCAGGCGTCTAATTTTAACCTGGCTTTATTTGTCAAAACATGTACCCACACCAGGCTAGTAAAGGAGACCAGTGTCTATTTGGGACCCTGCTTTTAATTGAAGTTTTACGGTATATTAATTCTTTTCAGTGAATATCCATGCAGGTTTAACTGTCATCAGAGTTTCATCAGCCCGTATATAGCTGTGAGAAAATGCACAGTAGAACGTATTCAACCCCTTGAAATGTTTTATTTTCATACAGCTTTGTACGCCTTTCTAGTTTACAGTTGCTTGAGAGTATAAAATGAAAGTGTGTGTTATGTATTACACTGGCATAAATGTTAATATGCCACAGCTATGGAGGGCTTAGTCAGACCCAAACATGAGGAAGCTGTTGTCCGTTTGACCACAATGTCTTGACAGTATTTAGCTTCTTTTGTTTTTTGTCTGAGAGGCATCTTCTAACATAAAACAGTTGTGAGAGCTAGCCACAGGAAACAGCTCAAGTTAGTGTTCCGTATCAACAAGACTCGCCATTGCTTTAATGGAAGTCATGAGATACTAGTTACCAGCCTAAAGCATGTGCACATTCTTCTGTATAATAAAGTTAACTCTGTTAGGAGTAACTGATGAATGGGTTCATGAAATTAACAAATCACATGGCAATAAAATGTAAGTAAGAGGAATACAATTTGGGCAGTCAGCTCTATTTGTCTTTTAGTAATAAACTTCACAGGCCGCAGACGTAAGCAGTATTGAGTTAGTTGCAGTCTACTTGGTGTTACACTGGTCATTTTAACTATCTCTAAATTAAACAAGGTTAACTTAATTCAAAATAGTACAAAACAACTTACTACTCGTAGCTGATTAAAATTTAAATTTAAACATTGATTTGAATATTAATTGAATTTCAGCATGTGTAGGTGAGTTATTCCTAATATTTTAACACCTGAATGGAAGTTAAAGCAACCACCTGACACCTTCCATGATTAACGTTGGTAGTGACTGGGTACTAACCCTTTACCCTGAGCTAATTACTTCTCCTCTTGAATCTGTTCAACAATACTGAAGATTAATCAATAAATGCTGTTTTTAGATAATGGAATAAGGTAGCTACATTGCGTTAAAGCTCAGGCCCTTGACCACTCTCACAGAGAAGGCCCTCTGTCCAGACAAGCTGTGTATAAACTGCGTACAGTCAGGAGATAAGACGATGACTCAACATGAGAATAATCCTGGGGGCAAAGCTGTATTGTGGTGTGATAGTGAATGTGTGAGAGTGGATTAAGGCAGCCCTGGTCTCATTCAGGGCAACTGAGCAAACAGGAGAATAAACTGCCTGTAATCCAACTGGCTACCAGAATATTTTTTTATCGTCTACATTAGATAAGTGATGAGACTAACATGTGACAGGTATTTCAGTCTATTTTTGGAAAAATGTGGTATAACCTATGGTTTCAGACATATTGGAGCGATCAATACTTGGAGATAAAGCATTGTTTGCTTTGTGGTTTGAAATACTTTAGTTGAGATTTCACCATAAAGTGGGATAAAGACTTTTAAATCAGGACACTGGATAATTTCCCTCTTTTATTATCAATGCTTACAGTGGAGGAAGAGGAGGTTTTTATACTATACTACAGAATATGTTTGAACCATGCAGTGTAGAAAACTGAACAATATCAGGGATTATTTTCCAAATACATCCAAGAGCAATTTGAGTAATCCCCCAAATTTAAACACTTCTCAAAAAAAGAGTAAAAAAGGTTGTAAAAAGGTATTTTACATTTTAATAATACACTTTCCTTTGATGGGATTTTTAAAGTTTCCTACGCCTTTATAGAAGGGCAACATTTTCTTACATTCAGTAAAGGATCATTAAGGTGTCAACGATGATACGTATGTGTGTGATGTTTCTTACCTTCAGTGAGTCAAAGCAGGCAATAACTCTTCCATTTTCAACTTGGCAGCTCTTCGGTGGATGAGCAAATTTGCATTCCTCATCACTACGTGAACAGTTTCCTCGCTGAAACTGTCGACAGACTTCCAGAGTTAGCCATTTTGTGTCTCTTACTGAAGAAATGTTCAACGCCATGCCCAAAGGTTATAATCATAAATGTGATTTTTAAAAGTCAATTTTATGGCCTTGTGCCTCATACACCAAAAGCTGTGGCAGGGTTGGCTCTATGTACAGAGTCCTCTTTTAAAACAACCTGGTGAGTCCTCCATTAGCTGGAGCAGAAAAATTAGATGGCTGATAAATCACTGAGAAATCTCACATCAAAAAGAATTGCAGATGTGGTTTTTTTTTTCTTCCTGTGACACGTTCAAGTGTATATTCCACAAATGATGGTGCCCATAAATATCAGACAAGTCAGGGAAATTTACTGCAGACTTGTCACTTTAGTCATACATTCTCAGGTCATTATTCTTTGTCCTCTCGTATTATGGCTATGTTTTAGCATTTCTTTTAGGTGCCGATGTTGTGCAAAGTGGTAGCAAAGAGCTTGCAGCTGAGGTATCCAGTCGTGGTGCTTGAGTCTGGCAAAGGCCAGCAATGTGCACGGGCCAACTTCAAGTCGGGTATATCTTCTAAAAGGCACTTTCTGTTGGTGATCTGAAAGACAAAAAACATATATAGCAGTGAAACTGTATCCAAAGTAAACAATGTTATAATTATGGTATCATTAGTCTACAGCTGGCATATTTAGAACTACTATAAATTATTTTTGAATACTCCTGGCATCTCATGTAATTTCTTCTATTCTCTAGAGACCGTTCATTCTCTAGAGTCATCTGCTCTTTAGCAGTTTACAGCAGAAAGCAGATTAGGTCAAACAATAACAAATGTGATCTTGAGTAATTAGTCAAGTTATATTTAGTCATGTCAGACTCTCAAGAGACTAATTGTTTGAGTCATTTTAAAAAACAAAAACTTGAGTCTTTCTGTGGTCTCAGCTTCTTAACTCTGAGAATATTCTGCTTTTGTCCCTTTTAAACTGATTTTGGGGGATTTGTACAATTGGCTGCACAACACAAAACATCTGAAGGAGTCAGCTTAGACTCTGGGAAATTGGGATGGACATTTATTACTACTTTATGACATTTTATGGAATGAATAATTAATCCAGATTAATGAACAATGGAAAAAAATCATTGGTTGCAGGTCTAAACCAGAGGAGACTTGACAAACAGAATGCAAACAGTAAACAAGAACCACCAAAATAATAAGAACTTAATACAATTTAGTAAAGTCAGAGGTTTTAGGCCAAAGCAGTATTAGAACTCGATGAAAAAGCTACCTAGCTAACTAGCATTCAGCATCTTGGGAGGCTAAGGTTGCACTCAGGCGGACAATAGCACTGCGCCAAAAGTCTCAGGAACAAGGGAGGCCCTGTCAACCCCATGATATATGAAAAAATGATGATAGTAAACCAATTACCTCCAACATTAGACCTGAATTAGCAGCTGACTTCTTAATTCTAAACTAAACTCCACAAAAGACTTGGAATTGGAATTGGAAATGGATCAGCACCGCATTCATAATACAGCCTGATAAACTCTTTTATCATTAAATAAATCATAAACATACAGAAGCAAAGTCAGTTTACCTTCAACCACATAATACTACAGTTTGTGGCTAAATATATCCACCGTATTATTAAAAACCAGTGCTCTGACCAGATCACTGTTTATGTTCTCTCTACTGGTAAACATGTTTCCTCCTTGGTAAACTGAACCATTTCCACTTATTGTATTACTTTTGCATATTTGTAGTTTAGCCTAATCCACAATAGTTAACCACCGTTCTGATCTCTTAGTCATTCTGTCTTTTTTTCCTACCCTTCTATCAAGATAAACAACTACATGTTTTTCCAGCCTAATGTTACTAATGGCAGCTAGTTAGCAGAGAATGCAGACGCTCAGTATTTTGACTCACCAGTCTAAACTTCATTAATGTTGTGATGGTTGTTGTACATGCCGTATCATGTCTGCAAATTCCACAATTGATTTATCTAGGCCATGATTCTTCAATAAATATGTAAGCACGTTTCAAACACAGAGCCACAGTTGTTGTGGTAGTCGTGTAGTGTATCTGGCTGGTGTCATGCTAATCAATTCATCAATAACTTAATCTGAACATTTCCAAAGCTCAGATCCATACAAACATATGCTACATAACAACGTTTATTGATCAGTATCCACTACAATGGAATGCCAATTAAAGATAGATTTAATCTTAATCACACATTTCACTGAATATGTCCTTTCTCTTTGTTCACTATAACCTATTTTCCATTGTACTCTCTATTTGCTAACAGTATGGGACTATATGAGCACTTGGTACCAAATTGCCGTAGTCAGATATGCTGACTCTTGGCCCAGCAAAGCACATACAGAATACAAGGAAAGCAAGACAAAGCTTAAACACACATCATGTTGGGAGTCAACCACAGGACTGGATTGTCAGACCAGAACACTAAGTGGTAAAACATACAGGAAGTTGCTGAGCAGGCAGAAAATGTGGTTAACTCATGAGCTGAATAAATCTGTACGAGAGCTGAAAAGTAACATGGTCTACAAATAAACAAAGACTCAAAAGGCACTGATTCAGAATAAACTCTGCTGTTGTGAACCCAGAGCTTCAACTGTAACAACCTCTCAGCTTTACTGCATGCTATCCCACAGCATACTGCAGCAAATTCCTTTGGGCGCAAGTCAGGAAATGGAGCAAGAAAACCTACCTCTCTCGCTTCATGCAGCACTCAAGAACTTCTTTTACCGACTGAGAATCTAGCTTAGAGATACAACTTCTGATGAGCTGACTTCGCTAAGAAAATAACCGTAGCAACCGCTTTGATCCCCCTCTCTGTCCCACAGATTCAGTTACCAAAGATTTTCTCTTCACAACAGTAAAAACTGTCTGTCCAACTCTGGCTGAAACATTTCCAGCCACCCCCTTCCTGCCTGAGTGCCAGCCTCTGGGAAGACCCTCCCAGTCAGATACTGGCCAATAGAAAACCAGAAGCTGCTGCACTGTGTGAATGCTGGCTGCAAGGCTTGGAGCAAGACATTAGTGGCAGTTGATCCTTTATTTATGAATAAAATGTGATCATTTAGAGAAGACTGAGAAGCATCCAGAACTTATCACTGCAATGATGACTTAAAAAGTATATACCTACTAACACAAACCTTCTGCCCCAATGTGGCCATGTACAGAATATAAGACATCATTGTATGTCCTAAGCATGTAATATCTGGTAATATACTTTTCTAATGCATCATGTCCAAAAACCATGAAATCGAGCACGACAACTCCCAAGATTGACAAGATGCACTCTCAAAATTGACCAGGAGTGTTGCTGTATATAATAATAAAATAATATAATGCTATTGCAGCAAAATAGGTATTAATAACATGACAGTATGATCAACTGTTTAGCCAGACCAGTTAATTACCATTTCAGTACTGATGTTTAAAACATTTTCCTGAATTAGGTTAACCTCCTGTTGCACAGCTTACTTTGTGTTGCACCGTAGTGGTTTAAGGCCTTTTAAGTATTCTTGGTGAAAAACCTTTTCCAGTTGGAACAGTGTTTATTTTAGAGTATTTCTGCCACATACAGAGCAGTAATAAGGGTGAGCAGATGCACATATAGCTCTATTTGGAGGTAACTTTGGTTCGAAACAGAGCTAAAGGCATCTTGTGAGATTGTAACTCTGTTTAAAGCCGCTAGAAAATACTTCAGATTGTTTGCGAAGGGTTGTTATCGATATTCCACTTGAGGGAAAATGTGATTTTCGCTGCTCTTATAATGTCTGGCCCGCCTATACAACGTTACTGTATGTAGTTATATATCAACTTCAAAACGCAACTAAAAGCATCAAATACAATACCACTACAATGACAGCCAACTACCTGGCACTATATTGCATCACGCTGTGTTATTTGCACAGTTTGGTGATTTGCATTCTCACCCTAGGCTACTTTAGCTAGCTAATCACAAATACTTAGCTAGCGAGCTAAATGCACCGCTGTCATCCGGCTAACGCTGCCACATTAACCTTAACACTGTTTAGCTTGCGTTAGCCGCACTGTTAGCTGAGGAGAGCACCTGCTTACCTCATCATCACGGATGAACCGCTTCCCGGAGGATCACGCACCAGCTAGACGAGACGACACCAACGTCCAAACAGAACTAACGAAAACAAGATGTCAAGTGCTCCCACAATGTCTGTTCAACAACGCATTTAGTAGTGGCTCTGTTCGTAGAATTTTAGCTCGTTATTTCGTCTATGTTTCCGACCTAATTTTCTTCATTACTTTCTAACACTGCACAGATTTAAGCAACAAGCTTTTGACAGCTTACTGTACGATCGTCAGTTTAATATAATGAGGGATTTCCCGGGGGGCGCCGAGAAGCCTAAAGACCATTAATAATTGAATATACAACGTTTAGAATACATAACAGCAAACAAAATGTTATACCGTAATATTAAATGTATTACGTTGATTTTAACGTAATACATTGTTGGAATAAAACGTCATTCAATAACTTAAACCTCCTAACATCCCCCCTACGACAACATAGTGGTACGATCCACACGAATGCCAGTAGGCTAAAAGGGCAAGGGTTTGCTTGTTACCAAGGGAACAGCAATAAAACCATGTGAGTTTTTTCTGGATTAATTTAATGAGAACATGCTTCCACGCACAAATATAAACATCTAATTAACGAAGTATTGGACAAAGATAGCGTAAACTCAAAATGTTGCATTGCATTAAATAACGTATGTGTCCTAAAGTGTGTACAACATCTATATGTATACGAAATAATGATTTTTAATGATTTTTAGAGAGTTATAATGCAAAACCCCCGTACCAACACTGCAGTGTACTCCTCATCTTCATTTTTTGGGATCTACCTGAGGTTGACGTAGAACGTAACAAACAATAGCACATCTTTAAAAATCTGCATTAAATACCTACTCGGACAGAACTATAAACCATGTTATAAGTTATAGCCTAGATAATGTTAATATATAATAACATATACTGTGTATGCCTAGCATTATTAATCACCTACAGTAGTAAACCTACCCATGGCCTACATGTGAAAGGTCAATTGATACTTGATAGATCAGAACATGACTGCATTTTTCTGTTTTTCCCTTCTGTGCATTGTTTAGCCCCTGCATATAAAGTAAAGATGACTGATTCACTTTCAGATAGTATGTTGCCAAAGGTGCACTCATTTGACACTCAACCAAAAAATGTAGAGTTGTAAACAGTCAAAGAAAAAACTGAATTATAAAAAAACCCCAATGGATTTCATATTGTCTATTGTATGCAGGTAGAACTGAAAGATGAAAAGTAGTAATGCCATCAACTGTTAGTGATTTGAAAGTCACTGTGTTTTGATTGACTGTACTTTCCCCTTGAATAGACAGCGTTTTAAAATAAGGATTAATATTGAGTTGGGTTTGCTGTTTTTAGAGTGTGTGTAGAGAAATTATTTTTGTATTTTGAAATGTAGAGTTGGCATTTAATTAATAAAATGTGATTTCGACAAGAAGCGTGAAAGGTTTTGATAAATTTTGCATTCACTAACAACAACTATAGCCTGTCCACTGTCAAGTTGTGCAGGGTGCCAGGCTTCAATATTGGATGCATTAGGTAAGAATAACACATGTACAAGATCAGTACAGATGGGACTTCCTGCACTACAAATCTGGAAAAATGCTGAAAAGTTATTAAGAGTAACCCTCACTGTAAAACACTAAAACTACCTACGTCAGTGCTTTAAGGCCACAACTTCTTTGTTCACATTTTACTGCAAATTTTGGATGCTGTTTGTATCTGTTAAGAGCATATTATCAGTTGTGTATTTGTGTTTGTTTGTATTAATTTAATTTTGTATTCACGTCTTACTCTTTGCTCCTCCGCTACCTTGCCTGTTGACTCCAGAAGGCATATAGTTAATTTTCTCAAATAACAAAAACTCAAAGTACAATTATCCCAGTGAGGAGGAATTGAAATTTCAATTAGATTTTATTTAAATCGCGCCAAATCATAACACAAGTTATCTCAGCACATTTTTAAAATAAAGCAGGTCTAGATAGTACTCCTTATAAAATAATAAACTCAAAAACTTCCTTTTAAGAGGCAGAAACCTTAGTCAGACCCCACTACCACATACCTTCAACACATGACTTAGGCCAGGGAGCCGTCCAGCCTAACCTGCTCTGGACAGGCAGTCGGAAGCAAACAACGGTATAGCTGTTTCAGGAGAGACAGGCTGGCAGGCTGAGGGAAAACTCTCAGGGGAGGCAGACTGGAGGGCAGCAGGCCCAGGCTAGCTGACAAGGAGGAAGGCTGGAGCCTAGCTGACCCAAGGCTAACTGGTGGGGATAGTCCATTGGCTTTGTCTGCTGCCCTGTGCCTCAGTATCAGTATCTCTTAAAACCCATCACCTTAGCATGTCAGCTGCCCAGCCAGTTGGCTTCCTTTTTTGAGTTGCAGGCTCCTGGCCGCCCTTCTAAGTTCAGGGGAGGAATGTTACAGGCTTGCCATCTCAAAGGAGGTGAGTCAATTGAGGGACCGACATTTTTTAAGGATAGGGGGAGGCAGGTTCCAGTCTAGGCAACTAGGGAGAGAAAGCCTTCCCATTAGCCTAGACTTTACCTTTACCAACTCTGCAACCACCTCCTTGCCCAATGAAAACTGGCCTCTAAAAGGAGTGCAGTTGAGTCTTAATTGGTAGCCAACGGCTTTGATTCAGGAAAGTTAGACAACAGAACAGCAGAGGTAGACCACTGATGATGGAGTCAAAACCATTGTCCACAATAGTATACTTCCCTGCACAATCTTAGCCCTTGCTTGTGAGTGACTCTTCAGGGGAGAATGGTGACAGGTCTTGCAATTTCACAGGTAAGCATGAGGTAAAGGGGACACAGGCAACCTAGAAATCGGCACAGGCGGGTGACTGAATGGCAGAGGTGGCTGCAGAGCTTGGAGAAATCAGTTTACAGTTATGAGAAAAAGGTACTAGGCTACTGGCAAGGCTGATGGCATGTTCTCATCAGCTAGTCTTGGGCCCAGCTAGCCTCAAGCCTATCTTCAGTTTGCAAATGTCTGCATCATTTTCCTTCTGCGATCATCCCAGTTGCCTGGGCTGTTGCCTGACTACCCTGATATGAATAGGCTCCCTCTTGCCTCCCCTTAGCCTGCAAACTGCCTGTTCCTCAGTCAGCTGGCCTCCTGCCTTCGTCCCGCGAGATGGAAAGCCTGTCACCTGCCTCACCTGAGCAGGCTGGGGGAAGCCAATGGTACAGGTGGCTACAGCACTGGGAAAGTTCAAGGCTCTGGGCAGCTGACAATGCCAATGGCATGTTCCCTAGCCTTGGGCCAGTCACCCTCCAGCCTACCTCCTGGTCTCCTGGTCCGCTAGCCCAAGCATGCCTTCAGTTTGTGAATGTCTGCATCATTTGCTTCCTGCGATCATCCTAGTTGGCTATTCTAAAGACTGTTTCAGTTGTGATGAATAGATGGTTGCCTTACTCCCCTGAGCTAGATAGACTGCTGCTTGCCTTCCCTTAACCTGCAAACTGTCCTTAGTCAGCTGGCCTACTGCCTTCCTTCCGAGAGATGGCAAGCCCATCACCTGCCTCCACTGAGCGTGCTAGAGGAGCCACTAAGAGGCCAAGGCAGCTACAGACTGTGTACTGGAGTATTCTGTTGCAGTCAAGGGCTTCACCTGCCTGTGCTGTCCTCCTGTCTGCCTGCCTTTGAGTCAAAGCCCTTGGCCACCAATGAAGACTCAGATGCACAGCATCACATGCCAGCCTTCTGCCATACACTCTACCAGTCCAACTCTCACGTACCTTGCCTCAGCCTACAGCTGGAGCTTCTATTGCCATCCAATGCTCAAGTCAAAGCTGGTGGCTACAACAGAATACCTCCCCCTAGACCCTAGAAAATAGGGAGAGACAGACATTTTGTAAATAAACAGGACTATCAATTGAATGCTGGATGCCAGGACTTACAGTAGCTTCTGAAGACTGCCACACTTTCTTCCTGAAAAAACAGCAAAGAAGGCCATTTTAACTCTTTTTAAAATTGCCTTTTAGTAATTTATTTAGACTTTTTATGGTTTAATTAGTTTTATCCGTGATTTTATGGGTTTTCTTCATTTGTCTTATTAAGTTAGCACTTTGTTACTGTGTTTTTTAGAAGGAGCTGTATAAATAAAGTTTATTGTATGTAACTGTGTAAATAAATATAAAAATAATTAAACAGCAAGGATCAAGTGCTTATATTTTACCAGTAAAACACAGTCTGTTTTGTCCACTGCAATTGAGTGATCAGTTACTGAGTTATGAGTTACTTATAAATGCATTCCTCTCAGCTCCTAGGTGTAATTTGCCATTTTCCACAATTTTCCGTCAGATTCACTTGAGAGGAATTGAGCTCTGAAAGCATATTTGATTTTATCAGCCTCAGTTGCAGTCCAAAGATGAACTTTCATCATTTGGGCCAGTCTTTGATTTTTCCAATCACAGTCCATTTCAGCAGCCTGAGGTGGTTCAGGTTTATGTAGAGGGACACTATTGCTACAGAGAGTGTAGGCAAGTTTTTTATGATTGTTGTAGAAGATGATCCACTGTATGTCCTGTCACACTGTAACTGTTATGAACAGTAAAGGACACAAACACAGTCAATGAAAAACTTTATTGACAGTCATTTCACAACATTAAAATAAAAATATGAGATGGCAAGCTATGGGTTGTTTCAGGCTAACACTTCAAGGTCAAATAAGATAAACGCGAACCCAGGTAAGATCAGTCACGGATGGAGAGAGGAAGAATAAAGGGAGTATTTGCTATTATGTTTTACAACATACCCCTGCAATAAACATAAAAATAACTTTCTCACAGTGCCACTTACATGGAGGCGATCTGTCATCTCTGGTTTGTGCTTAAAGACATAAAGTATTATGTGCCTCAGTTTTATGGCTAGCTGTTTTTATTTGTTGTCATTCATTTTGTAACAAATTGGTACTGTGAAAGTAGCTATTTATATGAAGTACCTCCTTGTTTCTAGTTGATTTAAAGTGGTATGGAATGATGAACCATTTGTTGGAAAACACATCAGACATAGAAAAAGGTCAGCAGTCTGTCATTTCATACTGTGGCAGTGATGGTCATGCAGTGACAGACAGCAATTTTTGTGTGCTGAGGATTGTGTGATTGATTAGTCTAATAAATTATTTATTGAAATAAACTAGTCAAAACTAATAAATTAGTCATTTAGAAGATTAATTTAGTAATTTAAAAATGTTGTGCATAGCAGTCATTTTTTAAAAACGTGGCTAATGTAACATTTTATCCTTTACTTGTCATGAAATTATTTAGCCTTTGTTGGTTCACATGAAAAACACACACCAGTTATGACTAATTGATTGATTTCCTCCCTTGATGTTTCTCTAGGCAACAGACGAAATTTATGTGATCTGTCACACCGACAGATCTCTTCAACAAACTAGACATGTGGCATCAAGTGCCACAGGGAAAGGTCACCTTATTGCTCCCTTTGAGGAAAATGTCACTGTCAAAGTGAGTCAGCCAAGAACAGAGAATGCAGCAATCCATGTGTCATTTTCTGTCTTTTTTTTACCGTAACCCCGTTTGTTGTTCACGTCGTTTGTTATTTACACACAATTTAATATTACTTGACATCCCTGTGTTGCTTTGATAGTCACATTTGAACAAGTTTTTATTTAAATATCACATGCATTACCATAAATCTTACCTTGAACTAAAGTGTGAATTGTCAGTTAAGCATCTACTTTCAACGTAAAACTATATTGTACATCAGTCAGTCAACCTTGGAAACTGAGGCTTTGACTTGGATAAACCTCTCCATATCTTTTTAAATACAGCCTCCAAAGTGCTGCATTATTTTGTTTTTGCACTTGATTAGTATTACTGACTGAAAATAAACTAAATAAATAAATCCTAACTTAAACCAAAGTTAAACTAATTTCCCTCAGTGTAAAGTTTGTCTCTTTCACTGATATGAACTTTGCTGACCTTTGCTTTTAAGCATTTTATTAATATGTATCATTAGAACATTGAATTGAAATGGAAATATTTTAGCTGTACTTTACTCTGTATACATGCAGCACAATTAATTGAGAGCAACACTCCCATCTAGTGGGAAAGAAATTGTAAAAAGAAGCAGCACAGAAGTTATGTTTGTGTTTGAGAAACAGCAATTCTATCTTATGGCCTGTAGATGTCAGTCTTCTCTAAAATATATTTTGACAAATTGACAAACCCAGAAGCTCAACATGGGGGACATGTTTGGTTCAGAAACCCAACAGTGAGGTGTTAGTTTGTGATGTAAGCTGTACCACATCCTGTGCTCACTGAGGGTGTGCAATGTGGGTAAATAAATGACCAGCATGTTAAAATAAATGTCAATACACTTCAGTATTCCTGCTTGTACTGTTCCCATCTCTGGCAAAAAAAATTTTTTTTTTTAAATAGTTCCACCAGGCCAGCTCAGCCTGGTTCAGAAGGACCAGTTAAATGTAAATATGAACTTTTACTTTGGTTAAAACATAATTTCATACCAAAGATACAGTTTGATTCCAAATCCTCTTAACAAAGATACAGCAATTTGCAATTTGTCGGTAAAAACACATCTGAATAAAGTTTAAGTGTTATTTATGTAATCACTGTTGATAATGATGGCCATTACATGTTTTAAAGACCTATTTCTATGCACCACTGTTTGGTATTAAGCACCAGATTTTGTGCTGACTCTAAAAGCTCAGAAAGTAGAGCACAGTCTTCTAGCAACACTATGTTTTTTTCAAGTCATTACACACTTCCTACGGTTAAACATCGAAGATAATACAGTCACACCATCTGTGTGGAAATGACTTGCTGCACCGGCAGCCACTTGGTGAAATGCTGAGCTAGCCATCCATACTGTACAACCTGAGGGGAAGCAGAAAGTTCTGTGTGTCAGTAGATACAGAGCGGTAATGTAAAGTGTTCCTTGGAAAACACTTTGAGTTAATGTAAGTAAGTACAGAGGAACTTTATTTTAATGATGATAGGAACATTTTTTTACTTTTCTGGCACAATTATCACACACTAAGTGATCATTGTTCTAAGAACAATAATCAGTTCATTTCATGTAACATACGTTTCATGAAATGTAAGTTTTGGGTCACCTTTATAGGGTAAAACCTTTTTAAAAACATACCCTGCTTTATCAAATCAGTGTTTGTTTTTCTAATGTACAATATACATATGTTTCCCTATATAAATTCAATATTTGTTTTATGTGTGTGGCATAAAAGGACTTCTTCATTTCTTTGTACTATATTGTATAATGATAAATAAATTACCTTGATTGTTCCTTGAATCTTGGTTTCTTCTTGACCTTTTGCAAGATGAAAAAAAATGCTTTCTACATAAGAAGACAATGTTCCATGTTTTTATAATTGGTTGAGTGATGTAATTAAATGACAGTCTACATAATGAAGGAATAGTGACTATATCTCTCTGTGTATGCATCACATATGAGCTAAAATATGGTAAAATGTGAATATCACGCTCTATGCTCAGTATACAGTTTATTTAGTTGCATTGTGAATGTTTATATGATTTACAAAGCAACTTTCTTGAATCAATCCTGAGTGTCTCTTTGGGAAGAGATAAATTGTAAACACATATTCATCTGTGTTTTTTGTGTAATATTAAATATTTTAACAACTCTAAACCAAATCTTTAATATAAATGTGTACATATGGGCTGATGCAGTATATAAAACCTTAGTGTAATATTTAGTTTTCAGGTAGACTGGCATCCTCCTCTTTCCCAAAGTATGATGGGATAGATTCCAGGCTCCTATGCCCTGATCAGTGGATACAGCAGATGGATGTGAATGGATGGATTCACATAATCAATAAATAAATAAATGTACATTGCTTTTAAAAATAAACTGTCTATATAGTAAAAATCTAGTTTGAGAATATAAAAGCAACACACATCATAATATCATGGCCATTCAATGCATTTATTTCTTATATCTTAAGCAGAATTCACTCATTTTTTTTAGGTCTGACAAGAAAAATGGCAGATTAAATATTACACGCCAAAAGGCTCTTAGACTGTTCATTTCATCACAATACTTTTAACATGTACATAGAAATTCTTACACTAAGAAAGCTCTCTTCCATTATCACTGAGGTGTTGGTAATACTGGTATTTTCAATCAGGCAAAGCCATTCTTTAGCAACAACTGAAGTTATAAAAACTAACAAATAAATATAGCGAAATCATCTCATGTTCATGGAGTCGCAGAATAAATAATAAAACATAGATAAATAAATAAGCTCCCTTAGCAAAGCAGCATGTCACACTTTTCTGGGAATGTCAAATTTTGAGTGCATAATCCAGGTTGGCTTTTTTTCCCCATCTTTTTCTTTTCCTTTTCCTTTTTTACACCATCGTCATGGTGAAAACAAACATTAAGAGAAAAGTCATAGAAATAATAAATAATAATACATTTGAACAGTATACTCTTGTTTTATTTATAATTATTCAGCAGTTGAACTGCCTTACATAATTTCTGTGTTCAGACAGGGAATACACAGAGAGGGCTGACATAGATGAATCATAGCACAGAGAGTGGCCATGGTGTCTGAGAAATGAACCCTGACCTCGGTAAAAGATTTGCTCATAACTTGATAAGATTTCACCCTTTAAATGGGAGTTTTCTATCTACATGTTGTTGATTATGTCATGGCGATGGATGTACAGTAAATGGCTTTAACTTAAGTGGTGGGCTTGCTGGGCAACAGTTTAATCTCTTACTCTTACAGTTTTCACTGCATACATAATTTTTCATCAAACTGTAAAAAAAAAAAAATATATTCTTGCAAACAATGTAACTATCTAAGCAGACGGACATACATTTTGCGCTATGAGTTTCAAATTGACAGAGAGCCATCCAACTGCCCAACTGACTGCTATGTTAACTGGGATCTGGAATTGTAGGATTAAAACAGAAATAGACTGTTTTTTTAACACTCTGGACGCATATTTTACAGCAGTGGATTCAGCAGAGACCACTCTCTTTCATTATATAAAAAACTGAGCGATAGGAATTACGCTCCATGAGAAATATAGAGTTTGAGTAGTGCCTCTTAGCTTAATCTGCATTAAATGAACTGTTTGACCCAGGAGTCACTCAGCAGTTACCGCCACCATTGCAACCTTTAATTACACACAGCCGATTAAGGGCTGCATATTAGACTTCACTCTCTGATCTCTCTGGTGTCGCAGTAGTTTTATTACAGATAAACACAGGTGTTATTTACAAAAGATTTAACATATATTAGTGTAAATGCTGTTCAGCTCCTTTCATCGCTCCCTGCCTCCCATGTGAATCTCTAGTGAGTGACCGATCTGTCACCTTTATCTCACAGAAGGCTTTACTGCAGCACAACACAGGTGTTAGTATAACAATAAAGAACATAGACACCCCCCCCCCAAACTCCTCATCTCCTTCTAGTGCACGGCAGATAATTGCAGTGCTTATTGGGCTTAGACCTCAGCTGTTTTACCTCATTCTAACAAAGACACCTCAATTCGTTCTCTGTACACTTAAGCTCATTTAAGTCCTTACACCAAAACACTAATTTCAACAACTTTCATTGCTTGTACTATATTTTGCACCCTTTTCCTTTTCCTGCTGTTCCAACTTTTCTTACTCCTTCAGCTGCTCCTTCATATAAAGTTAATACAGCAATGCAGTCTAGCTCCCAGCGGTTCATCAAGCACTACAGCTCAGAGTTTTTAAGCAGACAGCAATCCCTTCCTCAATTTTCCAGAACTCACACACACGTATGCATGGATATATACATACATACATATATTATATTAGGGCTGTCCCCTAATAGTTGACTCAACCGTTGAGATAAGGCTTTAGTCGACCCACTTTTCTTTAGTCTGTAGCGAGTTGATTTGTAGGTAACATTGCACATCATCCATCGTGTTGATAAATCCCCAAGTATTTGTTTTTGTGAAGGTGGAAGTTACTTATTCTGTGTTTTGAACAACGCAATTTGTGCGATGTTATATTGTGCTGAAATAAATGATCTAAATGTTCAGCCTTTTTGCTAGTTGACACATTCAGATTCATTATCATTTTTGCCAATATCATTTCACAGGTGCCTGTTAAAAATATAAATAATTCAATTATTATCATAAACCGTTGATGTCTACTGAAGTCTTGATGTAACAATTACTAGTCGATTAGAAAAAACTTTAGTCAGGGAAAGCCCGAATATATATGTGTGTATATATACATATACATATAAAACTTGGGTATTGGTCTTCAGCACATTTAGAGCACCAAAAGAAGGGTTTCATTAATAGCTATATGGCACTTCTACTCATGCTGCGTTGATGCCATCTGTCATAGGGAGCAGTATCATTCCCACAGCAGTGCTACATTTTGATTTAGCCTATTAAAAGCAGTTCAGAAATAAAGTGGAAATAACCACTTTAAAAAGAAATATTCCTGGGGTCTATAACAGCTATAGAGTTTGCACAGCATACTTTTTTACTTGACATAGTAAGAAGGGAACATGTGTTGCTATAAACATTAATGAAAATAACAGGACCTGAAAACTGAAGCAGCTAAATGGAATTCAGCCATCATTAATTTTAATATTTTCCTGCTGTGACTTTTCAATGAGTAAAAAAGGCCTTTGTTAAAAAAGAAAAAAACTCCATTACAAGGAAATGTCACTTTATGTGTTTGAGGTTCTGGTGCTCTACTGACTGGGATAAAGTGAGTGGGGCTCAGATGGAAAAATGGGATCACATTCTTCTGAGCACCAATCAGGATTAATTTGAATCAAAATCTGATGATAGCTGGTGAGATGACAGTGACTGGCGGCTGTCAATCAAATCTAGCAGTAAAATAACAAGATTTACTCAAACACTATACATTTTATTATTATTTTATGCTACCTCTACTCCACTACGGTTCAGAGGGAAATTAAGTACTTTTTACACAGAAAGTGTTACTCTGATTGACTAAAATCCTACATTAAATACATATGCTAAATGTATAAAATACAACACATTGTTTAGATTAAACCAGTGGTGTCCAACATTTTTTGGCTTGTGATCCCTTCAAAGCTCGTCAAGGTTTCAGATGTGTTCCACCAAACAGATTTTTCACTTCTGAACTTCTCACATAGTTTAATTTGGTTGTAGTTAAAACTAGCTCCCCCTCGATCAGCCAGTAAAGTTCTGTTTACCCACTGATGCATCAGTATTCAGTCAGTATCAGTAACAATCTAGTTATATATATTTATTTATTTGCCATGTACAATATTAAACATGTTGATAAACAACTATGATTTTATTGCAACTACTTTTACTTTGATACTTCATGTACATTTTGCTGACCTTTTACTTGAGTATAGAATAATTTTGAGTGCAATTGAGTAGTTGAGTAACTTGCATTGGAGTAGTTTTACCTTGATTAGTACTTTCACTTAAGTAAAGGACTAGAGTACTTCTTGGACTGGACAAATCAATAAAATCATATTCAAACCACTCTCACACTGTCCTGATGAAGCAGATTAGACTTTTTTGGGTGTAAATATTCAATGTTATGAGCAGACTTGAGCATTAAGCATATAAAGCAAATACAATGTTCAGATTATTTTAATTTTTGTGACCATGCTGTTTCACACACCACAAATGGCATAACCGCATGAATTCAGTTATAAATTATACACAGAATGACTCAATATTCAGTGCTGTAGCTCCACATGAAACACTTGATCAACTGCTATCAATATGCTATACACCCAGTCTTTGTTCTTTCCCATTCATCCACACTCACTGAACCCATACAGACATAAATGCTTTCCACAGAAAAAAAGTGCACACATTCAGCTCCTAATAGCTCAAAGCCGTATTCATTCAACACATTCACTGTTTGAGCTGGATGAATCACTTAAACAAGACAGAACACAGGTGCTTCTTTAAAATGAAACAAAAGTGTGCTGTCTGAGGTATTTTATAAGTAACTGCATCGGAGAAGAAACATGAGAAATTACTGTTAAAAAAGCAGCAGCCACACCACTTCAATCTTGACATTTAGTGAACATTTAACTTGATAAGCAGGGGTTTTGAGTAAATATGAGATAAGGAGCATGAAAAGCATCACTGAAGCCTATTCAAGCAGATAAAAACAAGCCCTCTTTCATCTTCATGTATTGCCGCGCTGATTGGATTTGAGGGACTGGAAACTATTGGGCAGAATAAATGACAGACGTGTTTTATTTCTCGACTATCTGCTTTGAGGCTGGTCTTTGTAGGCTGGCACTCTGCTGGCATTAGAGTGCACTCGCGGCCCACTGTGCAGTTGCCGTCAGCTCTGCAAACATGTAAAAGCAGCCAGTGTGACGGGGAGGGGCGTGAGAACTGAATGCTGATCGTCTCATTCACAGTCGAGACACACACCAGCCACACTGACACATTTCATCCCTTGTACTATTTACCAAACTTTTTATCTCTGTAGCCCACTACTTCAAAAATGAATTACTCACAAAATATACTCATCGTAGAGTACTTGTTTCCTTTTCTCATGTGCAACACAATGTTCTTCCAAAAGTACGGGGGGAAGTTATTTTGTTTAGCAGGATGACCTCTTTATGACATTAGTGTCATTAGCTTTGTGTGTATATCATATATTATCTTTGGGAGATGTGTTAAAGTCTGCAAGGTACTGCACTTGAGACTTGAATAATTTATAATGGACTGTAACCAAAATATTAGCATCAGATATATTTCTTCTATAATTTGATTTAAAACATAGGTACTACATGCATACCACGTGGTCTTTCAAGAGGGTTTCATTAAATAAAAATACAATAAATACATTGCGGTTTCTTTTATTTACCTCAGCTTACAGTACTGTATATCTTTTGGAAATCACTCTCAATTGTCAGAATAATGTGGATGTGTGACATGCAACCATCACTTCTTCTACAACTACACCTTTCAAACAGAATATGTTTTCTACCAGTTGCAACAAAGACAATGACTTCAAGGACATTCTTCAGCTTTTTTTGAATGTCAAAATTAAGAGCAACGCAGTCTATGGCAGCTTTTCTTTTGATTGTTTTTTGTTTTTTTTTTCACCTCAGTTTACTATCTTATTCAACACATGATAAATAAACAAGGCAAAAAATGAAACAACAAAAAAATATATAAACAGCATTTTAAGATTTAAGACACCAAAGGGCACTCCAAGGCAGAGCTGCTGTGAGACCCACAGACTTGGTAGTTTTCATAAAGAAACAGCAGAGCACTCGGATCACACTGAAGCTGAGAAACAGACAGATGCAGGAGACAGATTAATGGTGAGACAAAGGATGTGCGAGAGAGAGAGTCAAAGGAAACGTTTGAACTAGTCCGTGAGGGATCTCTCTCTGGCTCCTCTCCCTTAAGACCAAAGCCTCACCAACGGGCCACTTGGCTTGTGTAGTCCTCAGTGGTGGTTGGAAAGTCACCGTCAGTACCTTTCTCCAACCCTCCTCCCCTTCTTCCGCCTCTATTTCCACCCCCTCTGTGTTTGGGCGCCCATGGCCTGCCCTGCTCTTTTTGCTCCCTCAGCCATCGCCTCTCCTCACGCCTCTTCAAGCGCACCTCCTGGTGCTCCCTCTGGCGGGTGAACTGGAAACGCTGGAGGAACAGGTCCTTTGCGTACTCATACAACTGCACATCCAAGAAGTTGAGCTCCTCGATGCGTTTGCGCACAAGCTCGCTCAGGTCCACATTGGCGGCTCGCGTGCTGTTGATCTGCGTGAAAGCGGAGATGAAGCGCAGGCTGAACGTCCGCTCAAACAGGTACTGCGTCTTGCGTTGAAACTCGGTCAGGCCGTAGAAAGCCATGTTCTTCAGGTTGCTCATGGCGCTGCTCAGAAGGATGTGGTTTCGCTGGCTCTCGTTCATAGAAGACAGGTTATAGCAGCCCACCAGGCTCAGGTCAGCCAGCATGCGGACCTGACGGTTATTGGCCAGGTTGGATGGGCAGTTCATGAACTCTGTCAGGGTGACACCGGACCAGTCATCCCCATTGTAACAGGTGGGAAGCTCGTCCTGGGTGGGCGAACGTCCATCGCACATATGGAGGGCGGTCTTCCATGTGGCTCCGCGCTGAACGTGCTTCCACTCACTCAGGTAGCGGGAGACTGGGTCACGCAGCATGGTGATGTAGTAGAAGTTCCTGCAGCCAAAACAAACACAGTTAGAGAGCTGTGAGCACATCATCATCACAGAGGGCTGCCCTGCATTGTACTGACAGATGGTGACTTTTGTCTGTGTATGAAACTTCAAGGTTGAATGCTAATTGGCAAACTGAAAGCCTCACTAATGAGATTATTATATATATTGCCCTTGAAAATTGAACCATTGCACTGGAGAAATGATTTTGCAAAATTGAGCTAGAACGTTTTCCGTTCCACAGATTTCTTCCACCTGCCAACATGGAGAATAATTGGGAATCAAGACACAATGGTAATCCACGGACATACAGAAAGTAAGTAACACTGACCCAACTAAATCCCAAACATGCCACTGTTACAAAATAATGAGGTTTCAATTTTTCAAATCTGTCGCACGTTCAACTGGGTATCCTACCCATCATTTGTCACCCACAGCAGGCCATTACAGGAGAAAACAAACTTGGCTGGCAGTTTGGTGGTGAAGAACTGGTATATGAGCGCTATTCTTTTTTATGCAAACCATTGCCTCGCCCCAGAGATCGACTATGTCCTCAATCATTGCAAAAGGACGGACACTGAACATGGAAGACAAACGAGGAAGCTTAACATAGATGCATTGATTTTCTGCACTGTTAACAAAGAAGCATTCAACGAGAGGTGTCTCAGGAAGCAAGACAGACAGTTTGTGCCCTAAAATGAATGGCAATATTAGTAAAAATCTATAATAACTGCATGGGTACAAATCCAATCATGAGTCTTATTCTTAAGTTGATATTTTGCTTGAGAACCTGCACAGGAGGGTTAAACCTGCCCTTCATGCCAAGGTTGAAGACCTCCAAGGAGATCTACTCTGCTGAACCGCAGATACGTCAAAGCACATTCTGATGGAAAACAAAGATTGGACAGGTGTTGGTCAGGTAAACCTCTCCTAAGGTGATGTCTTGTGAGTGCCAGGTGAATATTTAATGATGCAACCCCCTCCCAAGAGAACAGTCCGGGCAGCTAAAGCGGAGTGCAGCTCTGAGATTTCACACTGACTCCAAAGCTGCTCTCAGTGCTGCCTCAGTTCTTTTAACACAGCAAACATCCACACAGTCTTGCCCAGGAGTGGAAATAAAAGAGCTACAAAAACAGTCTCCTGTGCTTATACTTCCTTGTCCTTCACGGTTGGATTCAATGCAGCTGATAGGCCAAAAAAAAATCTCTGAAATTGTACACGCACTGAAATATAATCTTCTTTAAAGGGAGAATATACTATATAATATATAATATAATATACTATACTTGTTTAGATTTTTGTATTTGTTTTTCAACATGTAAAATTTTTGTCCTCTTAAATCAGCTCTAACACTGAGATTACATCACAAGCATTGACAGAGTCTCCTTCACTATGTGCCTGTGATGAGGATGGAGGGCTGTGTTAGTTAGTCAATTAATCAATACGTTGCCAACCTTATTGATAATAGATTTTATTATTTTTTTATGCAAAAACACCAAACATTCTTTTGTTCTAAATTCTCCAATATGAAGATTTGCTATTTATTTTATTGTATTAAATAAATATCTTTAAGTTTGAGACTATTGGTCAGACAAAATGAGACATTAGAAGATGTCAGCTTGGGCTTTGGGCAGATTAAAGTTTTCCCTTTTTTACTGTTTTTTTTAGACAAAATGATTAATTGGTTAATCAAAAATATAATCAACGGATGAATTTCTAATGAAAACATCTAGTTAGTTGCATGCCTAGCCAGTCTTATATTATCCTTCCAGAAGAGATCATCACAAAAATCAAGCATGGTCTATTTGTGTTTTATGTCTGCAACGTCAAGTGTAGACAGGCTGTCAAATATAAACAAGGACGCTTCTTCCCTGTAGGAATCATTCTGTAAATAAAGTGTGTTGTAAATTGCAAAGAACAGGCTCTCATACCAATAATTTGTACATTAGGAAAAGCTATTTTATATATCCTGAAAACTAAGTGCAATAAGGTTCAATTCCAAACCTGTGAGCTCTTGTACTGTGCATTAAGGTTTTATTTGTGGCTTACATTTAGCTTATTTAACCTATTTGTCCAACCTCAATCAAATGTCAACCCTGGTTTAGTACACTGAGAGAATATTCATGGTAGAAAGCAAAGTCTTCTGAATATATCACATTTCAGATGAGTACACACTGAGAAACAAAAAAAATATTTGGACGTATTCAAGTGAACAAATAGCAACATCATCTGACTGAAGAAACCGCAAGATTGCCAAAAATATGTCTAGTTTATCTGTGGAAGATTTGTCCTAACTGTACCATAGGAATGCCACCACTGACAACGTTATCCAATATGAGTCAGCCAAGAGGCTGTGATTACAGCCCTGGTGGCAGCAGCTGCATCCTGGCACTTGCTCCTTGAGTTGGCTGGCTGCGGATACATCCTCATTAGACTGTCTCTGGGACATAAACACATGCAGCAAGTGTTGTTTGAGTGCACTCGACAGCCCAAAGGTCAGTTGTGTGCACCATCAGTGTCAAAATGCATCAGGATCAACGGGTGTGCAGAGCTGTCTCGAGGAGGCTTTCCTTGAGTGATACAGATGGCTGTCGGGAGAGGAGGGGGTAGGCTAACAGGCTTCTCTTACCTCTGGCCTGTGTTATCATCAGTACCACCCCTACAGTCATTTCACACTGACTATCAAAAGTACTGTTAAAAGTTTACACTGTGATGCTGCTTTCCAGTAGATGGTTGTAATTAAAGAAACTGTAGGAAGCAGCTGTCCTTTTAATAATATACAGTCTTGCAATGTTGTGCCAAAGCGCCATCTCTTTGCCAAGGTTTCCCAGCCTGTTTTAGTGTGTTGGATTCAAGGATGAAATCTCCAGTCAGACACTAGGACGGGGGTAATAATAAGAACAATAAATATATATATACATGTCCATATTGTATATATTGTGGGGACCCATACCCCGCAGCGATTATGTGCCTGGTTGGAGTCAAGAACTGCGTTGAACTCTAGTTAATCATGGATCAATAATGGATAGGAGGCACATTGCAACTCATTCTGCCCCAGAATACTCATCTCTAAAGCAGCAGCACCAGCAGCCCGACTTCAGTGGAGCACAAGCTAAATAGGTGCCATTAAGCTGAGATGGAAGAGGAATTCAAAATGGAAACTAAAGCAAGGAACCAGATGGGAGCTACGGACAGGCATACTGAAGCTTAGTGTATAGATGTAATTAATGGATATGGAAATTGTATAATAAATACAGTGTGCATGAAAATTACAGAATGTGTGACTGATGCATTTTAAAAATGTATTACAGCAATTTGAGACAATGGCTGGGAAAGAAAGTTTTTAAAAAAAATTGCTCTGTGTCTTAACATTTTATATAAGGGCTATTTTGAGCCTTAGGAAAACAAGTCCTCTGTGTCCTAAATCCTACAAATCTAAGAGTTCTTAGTGTGTTCACACTGGAAAACCAAAAAAGTATACAGTCAGTATACTAAAAACGCTAACAGGAGGAGCTAAACACAGCTACATCCTCACTTACTATATATGGTAATAAAACAGTTCCAGGATCACCAGGAGATGTTAACAATACATTTTTGGAATAACATTTTGCTGTGTCTTTGTTAAGTTTAATTAACAGTATTCAAAAGTCGTAGTTTGATTACCCTCACATGGTGCACAAATTGCATCATTTCCTGTTTAAAAACAGTAGGCTAATATATTGATTACCTGTATACTAACTGCTGAAAGAGTATACTACTAAGAATGACATATGTAATGTATACAGTTAGTACCTATGTAGTATGTATGTAACTCAGTGTCAGGTATTTGGAACCAACCTGTGCTAGACTAAAAGTCAGAGAATCAAAAGCTAATTATTCTGGGGAAAATTAATGTATGCACAAAATGTAATGACAATCCTTTGTTGTCAAGCCATTTCCCTAAAAAACTCAAATGTCATTGTCATTGGAGGAAAAGTCATTATACAATTTATCTTCTGGGGAATATTTGTAACAAAGTTTCATGACAATCCATCCAATAGTTGTTAGATATTTCAGTCTGGACCAAAGTGGTGGACACATCAATGGCCTATGCAACCAAACAACTAAAAAAGGCAAAAAAAAATAAATAACCAGCTTCCTAAATATTGTCACAGCCCTACAAAGGAACAGTTTTATCCACAGCCAATGTGCAACAGACTACTTGCTTTTAATTTCACGTAATTAGCCTCAATGACACAATTTCAGCCCACTGCTTCTCCCTGATTGCAGGCTGCTAAAAGGGACATTGTACTTTCAGCCTGAGCACATGGTGCTTGGAAGTGGATGAACCGAATTCACTCATCAAGACATTCATGTGTGGGAGTTGGATATTGTTGCAGGTGCTTGAGGGTGGGCTAGACAATAGGGAAAAGCAAAACAATATATCTCTGTGAGCTGAGCAGAAAGTTGTTGAGTGCAAAGGCTAACACACTGAGCAGTAAATAAGTAAAGACAGAATATGTCCCAGTACAACAGTGGGACTGACTGATGTTGTTGGGATGTGGTAGACACTGTGTGTTGTGTGTGTGTGTGTGTGTGTCCAAACCTCTACCTGTATACAGTCTGCTGACTTCTCTGATTTATCATCACAATGTAACAGCTTTGATTTCTCTCCATTACTCCACTGCAGTCCAGGAGCATTAAGAAAAACATTTTTAAACATCTTTTCACTGTCATTCTAGGGCATGGTTGCCTTCATGCAGTTGAACACAAGAGAGACAGACATGACTGTACACGTAACATCACAGTTATATACTGTAATATTATGCCAAACAACTAGAATCATATTTTTATTCATACTTAAAGTGTGCATCTATTGAAAGAGAGCTGTAAAGACAACACTATAAATGAGTGTAGCAGATTTATTGTGTATTATGTATTTTATATTTTATACAAATTAGGTGAAATTAAATTCAGTCTGACTGTCTGATTGGCAGTTTTGACATTTCCAAGCCCATTTTACTG